GGTTTAATTTAAATCTAACAAACTTCCAATGACTTAGGCATTATCTTTCTTTTATAGTTGAGAAGAACAAGGCATAGGAGGGATAAACAGCTTATTCCAGAACAGCTCATAAGTGGTACAGCAAGAAAGTAGCCCAGGTTCTCAAGCACTTTATTCATCTTGGGGACAAAATACACCACACCTACACTTCAGGGAGGCAAAGTTTATTTTGACCCACAGTTACTAGAGGTTTCAAGCCATAGCTGGCTCCAAGCCAGGGAGCATGGCACGGGGTATGACAGAAAAGTTGTTTGTGGCATGGTGGCTGAAAGTAGAGACAGTGCTGGGAGAAGCGTGAGAGGAAGACAGGCCCCTGCAGGCCACACCCACGCACCCGCCACCCAGTGGCCTGCCTCTGTTGACCAGACTCCGCCTCCCAACATCCCATCTAGCTATTAACTCGTCCATAAACTAACCCCCTGGTGATTATGAAGTCTGCCTGACCACTCTGAAGCCCGAAGTATGCGCCCGTGAGGCTTTGGGGTTATCTAGACAGAACCCACATCATTAGGCAAGCTGATCCCAAAGCCATGCTCTAAAGCTAACTCACCACAATATATACCAAAGTAATCAGTAGAAGAAATGATCCCTGTGAAATTACTCTAGTAAGTTGAAAAAAATCATATTTTAAATTACTAATACTACCATATACATTTCTGAAATACTTGTTCATTTTGTTGCCTTTTACTTTTAATGTTTTTTACTTAGTATAAAAAGGAAATGACTTAAATATACAACAATAAGCTTAGTATTGAACAATCTTAAAGGAGATTATGATTCAACCATAAATAAGGAGATTATGATTCAACCATAAATAATGTTATAAAATGTATTTACAGCTTAGAAACATGAATGTTATAATGCAAACGGATCAGATGGTCAATCAATATGTAAGAAATACAGTTTTTATACAAAAAATTCCAGAGCCCAGGGAAACTATAAAACTATGTATCAGACCTTCTTTATTGCTATTTCTTAAAGATTTTACATATTACAATACTTTCCATATTTTCTATATTCAGAAATTTTCTCATTAGTGAAAAGTCTAACAAACTAATTATGCCCACTGAAATGAAAAATGATTTAGATGCTGCTGCCAATAAGTGAATAAATATCTATCAAAGTTAAGAAAGTGATTTTAAGCATGAGGGATATAACAATGTCAAATGAAAGCCCACATAAAAGTGATTAAGGATGAGGAAAGAAAACTAAAAATATAATAAAACTTCAGTCTATTCACATTATTTACATCTTCTGCAATACTTAGCCTTGTTTGTCAACTTGATTGGTTTGAGAGAAATCCAGAAGGCTAGGAAAACACACATCTGGTTGTGTCTGAGGGTGTCCATGGCAGATAAGCTTGGGGGCTGTGTACAGTCTCCAGCCCTCCCTCTCTGCCTCCTTCCACCCCTCGCTTTTCCCAGCTGCTATGAGGTTGGTAGTTTTTGGCTGTAATTTTCTAGTTTGGAGCCACCCAAACGTGGAGTAAAACCTCTGAGCTTTTTGCCATCAAGTTGTGTCTTTCAGGTATTTTTCCAAACCATATCAGGTAACTAATACATCTTATTGGAAAGAGCTCTTTTTCTATATCAAAATAAGTCTTGACATGTGTGTTTAATTATCTTCATCCTGATTAAATTACAGACACATCATTTCTGAACATATTAGAAAGCTCTAGGGCAGGCCAAATAGTTCAGTGGATTAAAGCACCTGCAAGCAGGTGCAGGGACCAGGGGTTTGATCCCCAGGCCTGCTGTGCTGGTCCCGCCCCTGAGGCACCCTGAGATGGCAATTAAGACTGGGTGTGGTGGCGCATGCCTGTAATCCCAGCTCTTGGGAGGCTATAAACAGGTAAATCACTACACGTCTGATCTAGTAGTGAGACCCTGAATACCCTGTAGACCCTTCCCTAAAAAAAAAAAAAAAAAAAAAACCCTCTAGCAGCATGAGTATAGAGAGAAAACAAAATATATAAAAACAAGTTGCATCGCTCTATATTAAAAATAAATTATCTGAATAAGAAACTAAGGGCCAGCAAGATAGCTCTGCAGACTAAGTGCCTGCTTCGGCAGGCACAGGGACCAGTTTGATCCCCAGCCCCACCTGCTGCGCTGGCCCCACCCTGGAGCACTCTGAGCTGGCTACTTAGTCTGCGTGTGGTGGCACCATCTGTAATCCCAGCACTGGGGAGTCTGAAAACAGGAGGATCACTGTGAGTCTGAATTGCTTAGTGAGACCCTGTACCAAATACATTTTAAAAAAAGAAAAAAAAAGAAAGAATCTAAGAAAAGAATTTATTCACTACATAATTACATAAAGAAAATAAAATACTTACGGATAAATTTAAACAAGGAGATGATCTTTACAATGAAAACCATAAAAACATGAATGAAAGAAACCGAATATGTACATAAGTGGATAGAGACCTTATGTTCATTCACTGAAAGAATTCATGGTAAAATATCCATGCTATCCAAAATGACCAACAAATACATCATAACCTCTATCAAAATCCCAGTGATTTTTTAGAAAAAAGGCCTAAAATTTATAATGAATCACAGAATATATCAAATAGCTAAATCAATCTTGAGAAATAAGAACAGTTAGAAACCATGTTATAAAGCCATAGCACTCAAAATATGGTATAAGCACTAAAACAGGTGAAAAAACCAATAGAATTGAATATAGAGATCAGAATTAAGTCCACACATATACAGGTAACTAACTTTTTAAAATGTATTTTGTTGTTGCAGTGTCTCACCATGCAGCTCAGACTCCTGGTGATTCTCCTGTTTTTCAGCATCCCCAGCAATGGGATTACAGGCATATGCCACCATGACTGGACTCTGTGGCTGGCTTAGCCCACTGTGGGGGCAGGGCTGGCACAGCAGGTGGTGCAGGGAATTGAACTACAGTGCCTGCGCTTGCCTAAGCTTGCTTAAGCAGGAACTTTAGTCCACTGAGCTATCTCGCTGGCTTCGTAGGCAACTAATTTTTTTTTTTTTTTTTTTTTTTTTTTTGTGTGTGTGTGTGTGTGTAACTGGGGATTGAACTCAGGTCCTTGTCCTTGCCAGGGAAGCATTTATTCCACTGAGCCATCTCCCCGGCCCGGCAACTAACTTTTGACAAGTTGTCAAGCATACACAGCAGCAAAAAGAAATGCCTTCAATAAGTGGCTTTCAGGGAACTATACATCCATGTGCAAAAACAATAAAACTGTACTTTGCTTCATGCCATCTAAAGAGATTAAGTCCAAATAGAATAGATTTAATGGTAATGTCTGAAACCATAAAACTTCTACCAGAAAACAAGGGAAATGCTTCATAAAAATGATCTTGGCCACGATATTTTAGACATTGCTGATGGCACAATAGACTGCGAAACAGTATGAAAATTTTTCAAAACAATTCAAAATAAAACTAACATAAGACCCAATGAAAGCAATTGCTTTTCTTTCTCTCATCCATGTCTCCTTGCCTCTTATATCCCTGTGCATTTTGTAACAAACTGCCAATGCCAGCATCTACACTTCATTGACTAAGGGCTCCTTCTGGCCCAGGACTTCAGCCATACAGCAAGTCAGCAGGAGTGGGAAACTAAGACCTGCTCACTGTAGAAGCCCTCAACCACTGCCTGGCAGGAGTTGGTGGATAAACAGTGTGGAAAACAGTACGGGAATTCCTCAAAACTTTAAAATAGTACTACCATGAGACTAAGAAACCCATTTCTGGGTATCCAGTTTAAGAAAATGAAATCAGTATGTCAAAGAGCTCTCTGCATCTCCACATTTGCTGCCAGCATTAGTCCCAATAACCAAGAAATGAAATCAACCTATGGTTCTATCAATGGATGCATAGGAAAAAATGTGGCACATATGTGCAAAGGGACATTATGTCATAAAAATTATGCCATTAGTAACAACAGAGGAATCCGAAGAGACTGTGCTAAGCAAAATAAGCCTGACATAGTATATATATATACTATGTATGATCCTGTATATATATATGTGCTGTATGATCCTGCTTACTTGTGGAATCGAAGAAGTTTTAACTGATAAATGTAGAATCTAGAACACCAGGACAAGGTGTTAGGTGAAATGGGAAGATGTTGGTCGAGAGGTACATGTGTTCACTTAGTCGGTAAGTAAGTTATAGAAGTCTGAAATGTATGCAGTGTAGTAATTCAAAGACAAGATCAATAAGAGAAGGGAGAAAAGAGTTAATAACACTATTGTTTACATGGAATCTACTAAGAGGATCGTAAGTGTCCTCACCATACTCACAAATACATACACACACACACACACACAATCATTACACATGTAAGTCGACATCAAATTATCACCTTTAATGTTTTGTCAGTTACACTTCAATAATCTAGGGGGTGAAATAAAGACAAATCAAGAAGGTTAAGGTACTTCATTAAGGGAAATTCATTGAGATTTCATGTACCCTAATTATAATTTCCATCCATCCATTAGATTTTAAAGAAAAGAAATGTTCCCTAATATTATTCATTAAATATTCTCAGATGATACTGTCTTTTATCTTATTAGCAGACCAGAAAAGAAACTGTTTTCTTACTAAAAAGTTTTCAGTTGTATTAAAATAGATAATGATGTTTATACAGTTAATCTTGACTATGTTCACCAGTACCAAATCTATTCAGGACAGAGATTTTTAGCATCAATATTTAAGACCTGCTAATTGATCACATTCTCAAGGAGCTATAACTTATGTTATATCAAAACATTTATTTAAAAGTTAAAATTATCACTGACTAAAAAAAGCGTTATTAATTTCTTTTGATCTGTCTTTTTTAATATGTTAAGCTCAGATGCAAAGTATTTTAAGGACAAAGAACTTCTAAAGCAAAATAAAATTAAGAGGAAGAACAGGCAAGAAAGGTAATGATGTAAGACCAGAGGAAATGGAAGGAAAAGAAAAAAACTGAACAACTACTCACCTCTATGGGTCATGTCCCAGTAGTCATCAATTTGTTTCTGGGTTGGGAAATGACCACAGTCATTGAAGTACTTAAGGAGCTCACTTCTTTCTAATCCTTGCCAATCTTCCCTCTTGGCAAACATTGTCTCATAGACTAAAAGACCAAATGGTTGAAGAAAATATTTTCTTTATGAATAATTTATCAAGCATAAGCCACCTGAAAGCATCATCTGGATTTGAAGAAATTTTAAGTCCAGCTTTATTTTCATGTCTCATGAAAAACCTCCAAGAGTGAGAAGCACTGTGTGTCCTACTGGCAAAACCTAGGCAGCAGGGCTCACAACTCCTCCCTCCATCCCCTGCTGTGAAACTAGACTGGATTCCCTCAGGACAACGTGAGTTCCTGCCTTCTGACTGCATGGCGGTTGATTGTAGACCACACGTATCAACGCTCCAACAACACCACAGATGTAGATTTTCAATTTTAGTTTTGGCCAAGATGCAGTCCTTGTACATATTAATGGAGTTCAGTGTGACAATTCAGTGCATGTATATAGTATGCGCTGATCAAATCCACCTCCCTTTCTCTACTCTCCAATCCCACTTCACACACTCTTATAATCACTATCCCAGTTTCAGATTGACAATTTTTACATTCCACAATTATGATAAAACATGGCTCTGTGTCTGTCTCACATTACTTAGTATAATATTCTCCGGTTCCATCTCCATCTTGCTGCAAATGATAAGAATTCATTCTTTTTTATGACTGAATAAAACTCTGATAGGGACAGATATAGATAGATAGATAGATAGATAGATAGATAGATAGATAGATAGATAGATAGATAGATAGAGATACATAGATAGAGGTACAGATAAGATACAGTTCTTTTACATTTTCTTTATTCTTCCATCTGTCACTGGGCACCTACACTGATTCTGTCTTTGCTATTGTGACTACTGCTACAGTAAACACAGGTACGCAGGTGTCTCTTTCGTATGCTAATTGTTTCCTAGGGATTTATATCTAGAAGTGTGATATTAGATCACATGATGGATTTCTTTTCAGTTTTTAGAGAGACCACTAAACTGTTCCCTAAAATGGCTGTACTAATTTGCATTCCCACCAGCAGTGGAGGAGAGTTCCTTCCTGTCCCTGCCTCCTTAAGAGCAGTGTGAGGATTTCTGTGGGCCTGGCCCTTACTGCCCCACTCAGTACGCACTTATTAGCTCCTCTAATTGTTCACCACTGCTTGGCTTCCAGTTCACATTTTAACTGCTTAAATTGCTTATTTCCCTTTGGACTGCTTATTCATTGTCCAATTTGTTCCCTAATTAGGAACAATGTCTACATTTTGCTCAACGATTTTATGTGTCCTTACTTGCTTGTTTGAGGGGCTTTGGCACCCTGGCTCAAAACTAACATGGAAAATCACTTAGTTGGATATCCGTCATCCATGACCTGTATCAAAAACACTGTCACATACAATTTATAGGCCTACATTTACCCAAATACTGTACTTTTTTTCAAAAAGATGACTCTGAGTCTCCACTCAGAAGTAAGTATAAAGCATTAACTTCATGAAACTGATTATTATTCAATATATACAGGATGACAAAGTTTGTTTAAGGATATTGAAGTACAGACTTAGCTTTGAAATATAGGTAGCCAATGACAATAGGCATCTGCGTGGTTTTGAATGAAAGTTTTATCATCCTGGAACTCAATCATATGGATTTTAATTTTCTACTCATTCAGTTGAAGGAGATAGCAATGAGACATCAACAAAAATCAAGAAATATGTATTGATTGTCAAAATATCAGTAGTTATTCGAGATCATAAAGCATAGCAGTGAAGCAAACTCATAATTAATATACCTACAGGTTTCCCTCTTTTCAAATACACAAAATTAAGCAATTGTTTTTGGTGCCCCAATTCATGTCTCCTTGTCTCTTACATCTCTGTGCATTTTGAAATAACCTGTAAGTGCCAGCTTCTGCATGTCACAGCCTAAGGGTTCCTTCCAGCATGTGGCTTCAGTCTGCCCACCTGTGTGTAAGCCAGGCAGAGTGGGAAATGAACACCCTCGAGCCCCTTGGAGTGGCACTCTGCCAGACTCAGGGTTGGTAGGTGAACACCTAGCCGTGAGGGAAGCAGGTTACACTGTTTTCCTGAGGTTTTTTTTTTTTTTTTTTTTTTTTTTTTTTTTTTTTCAGAAAGGGGGATTGAACTCAGGTTCTTGTGCTTGCCAGGCAAGCACTTATTCTACTGAGCTATCTCCTGAGCTCTTTGGATAGGGCAATCTTTTTCCACCTCTATCCTTTCCCTACTTTCCTTCTGTATTTCCCTAACAGTTTTTCTTTTTTTTCTATTGGGCACTCCTAGATAAATTAGTTGTACTTGAATTCATTTATCTGGATCTCAGTCAGAAAAATACCAAGCTAAGATACAAAAAAAGTTATTTATATCTTTTGCAAATATATAAATATGTTTATACTTCAAAAATACATGTATCTAATAGTTTTAACTGGAATCAATCAGTTTTATATATTTTAATAAAATGAGATTGATGCACGTATTAACATTATAGTGACCATTTTACTAGGTAAAATTATTTGTTGACTGTATTAATAGATCAACATATTTTGCCCTACAAGCAAACTTGCAGCAGAATTCATATGCTAGGCTACTATAATTGGGGTAAATATAAAACTATGTTTTTCTTTTGGTACTGGGGATCAAATTCAGGACCTTGCACTTGCCAGGCAAGTGCTTATGCAGCTGAACTATATCCCTGGCCCTAAACACAAAACTGAAACCATAATTTTTTTTTTTTTTGCGGTACAGGAGATTGAACTCAGGACCCTGCGCTTGCCAGGCAAGTGCTTATTCTACTGAGCTATCTCTCCAACCTCTATTTTTTTGAATGATTGAAATATGCTTAAAACCATGCACAGGTATCTTTCAATATATCAACTAATTAGCAATCAATAAACAAAAAGGAGAATTTTCAAAGGAACATAAAGATAAATAAAAACTTGTGAAGTATGTGAACTGATTAGGGTAACAAAAATGGATGCTTTTGCTAATAATTCTTTACTGAATTAGATGACAGCCTCTACTCTTGAGACCCTACATTAAACAGAGCACTATGTATTCTAGCTGAAGTTCTTTTTTTCTGTTTTTGCCCCCATGTCAGGCTATTCTCAGCAAAAGTATCAAAGAGATAAGTTCCACACAGCTCTACCATAGATCCTCCTCCAGCATGTCCTAGTGGCTTCCCAAATCTTTCAAGGTAAAAATCAGCAGTCTCTGAAACCTGACCCAGCCCTGCCCCACACCATTTCTCCAGTCCCACTCTCATTTACAGTTTCAGTGATTTCAGTCTCCTTGCTTCCTTCACCAGCAGCCTCAAACTAAAGCCATCTGTCTAGAACATTCTTTCTCTACCTATCCAACTGGCTCACATCTCATTTTTTTAATAAATTTTATTCACAGAGCTACTTAGCTAGAAACCAATTATCCATGTCTTACACCTACACACAGACACAGACACACACACACACACACACACACACACACACACACACACACACACTTCTTCCTCAACCTCCAGCAATAGAAAAGGAAATATTGCAACACAGAAATTTCTAGTTTTTTTGATCATTTTTAAAAAAAAATGTAGTTTTATCATAACAATATACTCAATGAAAGCTATGTCTGTAACAATAGTAGGTATTTGTTAATGAATGTAGGACTTATCTTCATGCAACTCATAACCCAGTGTGTGAAACATTTTATAATCAGCTCAAACCACCAAAATTTTTATAAAGCCATGAAAATGATGATTCCAATTAAATGTAATTTGCTTGCATAATGTTTTGCTCAAAAAACAGGGTGTAATAATTTCTTCTCATCCTAAACAATATTTGATTCAGTAAATATAAATAGCATTAGTATTGTCTGATATATATTGCGAACCTTATTCAATGAAAGAAATCCCAACACCAATAAATGACAGGAGGATTTGTCTGCTCAGTGCCAATTAATTATCTTTATATATCAATGTTTTAATTTTCAGTTGGCATATAACCTTTCTGGTAATGCAGGGAGCCTTTGTAATTCTCAATGTTCCTGACTTTCCCCCTGCAAAGTGCAAGGCATCACTCAATCAGGAAAGATCCGCCTGGAATGTGGTTTAAGGCAGAACAATGAATGCTTTTATACTATAGGTGCTAACCTATCCTCCAGAGGCAAATAATGCTCTGTATTGCCTGCTTCCTAGACCTGTGCAGCAGCTGGGATGCACATTCCGTCTCATAGCTCGTCTTTAGCCATCTACCCAATATTCTCCCTCAAATTTGTTTCGTGCTTTCCTGAGGCAGAATGAGGGCCTCACACCTATAAAGAGAGGGTCCTAATGAATTAACTCAACTATACACTATGCCTCCTTAAAATTGAAAGAATTTACAGGAATACAAAATGTACTCTATCTTTTGCTTGTCATAGGTAAGCATATGTAAAACTTTAATATCTAAATGAGTTCCAAATTTAAAGCAGACATGACTAGATCACTTACACTTCTTTCTGTCCATCCATTCCTCCAGCTCTGCAAGGTTGATAATTTCTCTGGTCCTCCACAGGCCCAGTCGATATTTGACACGATGGATGAGTCCCCGATACATGTCTATAACTGCCTTCAAATTGGATCCATGATACAGAGCCTAGAAAGTGGCAGGACAGTGGGAAATGCTATGTATTTAGGTTTCTTTATATTTATTTTGATTTGTCCCTTTTTTCTACTTCAGCCATTTTCTTAAAATATGGCTTTTTTTTGTATTTCTTACTGTTTATTTCCCTGGAGATCAAAACTCCACTGTGGGTTGCTTGGTCATCTGCGTATTCATGCTTCCTGTGGAGTAGATGATTCACTGGTGGTTCCTCTCTTAGATGCTGAATAGGGTGGTGTACAGATTTCCCTATTTAGCACATTTGGGTCAGAAAGTAAAGATTTTGTTGCATAACGGAAAATTCTTTTTATTAGTACATGTTTGCTGCATGCGATGGTCGCATTCATCATAGGGAAATTGTACCTGTACCTAAGGTATCTTAATACTTTTCCCATTCTCCTTCCCTCCCTTCAACTCTTCATCCCCCTTTGTTTACAAAAGCTTTGTTTCCACTTTTTTCCTTCCATTCTTTTTTTAAAACTCCTTTTCCTTCCCTTCCATTCCTTTCTTCCCCTTCCTATTGGGACATGTTCTTCCCACTTTCCTACGGGTTCTCCATTATGCTTCTTATTTACCCTTTCAGTTCTTTTTTTTTTCATTTTATGTATTTGGTACAGGGTCTCAATACACAGCTTGGACTCATGGTGATCCTCCTATTTTCAAGCCTCCTCAGTGCTGGGATTACAGGCACGCATTCCCACGCCCAGTTTGGCAAGCCAGGGATGGGGCTGGTGCTGCATGTGGTATGGGGATTGAATCCCAGTCCCAGCATACCCTTTAGGTTTCTAACTCAAAATAAACAATGTGATATTTAAACTTATGTCTCTGATTTATTTTACTTAAAATTATCTTGAGATGCACCCATTTGCCTAATATCAACTCATATTTATTTTCTTTA